GTCCAGTCACTTGCGCCATGTGTTTCCAGTAAGCTGTGTACGCATACTTATTTACATTGATCCATTTCCACACCCCACCCCAACCTGAAGTCTAAAACATGCACTCTTAACTATTACATAATCTGATGAGCAATGCTAGCAGGTTTCTCTAACTACCTGTTACAAGGCTTCTTGCACCTTCCTCTGATGCATCTGGTTCTGGTCATAGGGAGGCAGAACGCTGACTGGAAAGTGCTGGCCTGGGCTGGGCTGGCAAGATTTTTGCATATGGGATGTTTATGTACACTTAGATGTTCCTGTGCTGTGTTGCTTTCACTTAGTCATCTTCTGGCACAGAAGTTCACGTCTGAATTTGCTTGCATGCCCCTCTGTAATTATTCAGATCCCTACATCTCATCATCTGAGCATAAGAAATAGTAATTGTAGACCTAACTCAAGCTCTCTAGTCATGTGCTTTTGTACTAGAGATTCTTTGGGACAAGGATGTCTGTATGGGTTTGCTGGAGGTCTTGTGTATTTGCAGCGGGGAAGGCTGCCTTATGATCCCTGCTAACTTTTCAGACTAGGACTCCAGTGTTTGTTCATTCCCTCCTCCTCTCACTTCTCTATTGCTTGTCCTTGAAGACAGAAACCAAGCGTGATGTTCTTTCTGTCGCATGACTCATCCTAAGCCCAGTGTAGAATCCAGGTCTACATGCATCTTTTCTTGCCTTCTGCTCCCTCTGCCAGCTCAGATTCTGTTCTTGGGCTCTGTTTACAGGCTCACACAGGAGCCGGAGAGCTTCCTTACTGAAACTGCAGATTATCTATAGGTCAGCAGGGCTGGGAGCTGTCACCAGTCATAGCTTTTTGAAATGATTTGTGAATCATGGTATAGGAACAGCTGCTTTAGAGGAAGATGCAACATCGCAGAACAGTTATCACATAAAAGTCCACAAGAAAAGGCTTTGTATCTCAGTGGCTATAGCTTATTCTTTGTAGTTGAAGGGCTTATCTCACTAACTCACTCATGTTAAATCCTTCCTAATACTCTGAGTGGGTGGTGATTAGACTCCAGCTGACTTGTGCTGATGTGCTCGCCACATGTTTCTGCTTACTTGCGTTGTACATCTACTCTTATCACTCTCATTTGTGAGTATTTTTGCACTAGGATACTTATGCATGTATCTATGTACTTATGCTTGCATGAATTTCCAAACATACCTTTGCTTTGTCATCCATAGGCACTCACGTGCTTTGATTCACAAAGATGTCTGTCCATGTGCATATTATCAGGCTTTCTAGATACCATGTGCTACTTCACAATCTACTATTTCTTTTTTTTTTTTTTCCCCCCCCTCCTCCCCTCCTTGCAGCACTCATGGCCAACGTGGAGGACCTGATTATCAAGACTGTGGTTTCTGCTGAGCTGGCCATTGCCACAGCTTGTAAAACTTTTCTCTCACATCGTGGCAGCTGCTTTGGTAAGGCACTGGGGACATCTTTTTGTTTATTGACGCTTGATTACTGTTTGAAACTTCCAGCTTTCTGATGCTACGGAGGAACGTGCATTCACTGTTGCACAGAAGCCAGATACTGTTGGGGTGGTGTTTTTTTTCTCAGTGTAGGCCTCTGTGAGGGCAGGGATGTTGAATCACAGTTGCCTCTGTGCCAGTGTCATTCGTCAGCATCTCATGCTAGAACATGGGATGATGAAAAAGAACTTCAAAAGGAACTGAGAACTACTGAAAAGTTCAAGTTACTGACCCGCTAATGCCCTTGCAAAGGATGGCTGTGGATGATTAAACATCCCTGTAGAGCATTTAATATTTTCTATTGAGCCATCTAGCCCAATGTTGTTCTGAATTATTGTCTCACATGTGTCTGAGGACAAGGGAGGAATGTGTAATGCAGTGCTTGGAATGACAGTGGTGGTAAATGCTTCTGGGCTTGTGCTTGTGCGACGGTACCACACGGTGGCGTCAAAGCCTATTTCTGGCAGAGGCTGGATGCAGAACTATGTGCTGGCAAAGGGAATTTGGAACTCGCTGGCAGCAGATGCTGGGACGAGGTCCAGAAAGCAGTGGCTGGTACCACAGTGTGCCTTCTCTCGCTTTCCAGTCGCTGCTTCCCAACCTTCCCTAAAGAGGCCTCCTTCTACTCTTAGCCGCCCTTTGCTCATGTGGACACATGCATGAAGATGGAGTCTTAGGGTAGGGGAAATGAGTCTAGAATTAGTCACAGTCAGTGCTTAAACCAAAGGCAAAGCTTGGCTTAAGCTATCTGGTGTTTAGGTATTGGGACTTGTATTTAAATTAGCTGTGACAGGTAAATCCATTTGTGTGGATTGCATTGTACCTTGCATTGCACTTGGGTATTGACAGTTCTGCGGCTTTCACCACTAATGTAAATGTCTTTGGGTATTCAAGGGTGATGAGACAGTCAAGAATCAAGGAGGAACCATGGCTGATAGGTGCTGTAGTTACCTGTCAAACTGGCTGCCTTCCTGGCCTTAGCTTCTCCTGACTGACTGATGCTTCTGTTCAAAGATGGAGAACCTTGGCATGCATGGGGATTTATGAGTTAGATAATAGTTTTAAAGAAGTAGCAGTTTATCAGCTACTCCAGAAATATCAACAACTGGATTTTAAAAAACCCACACGGAATAACTTCAACTGCCTCTTTTTTTGGCTTCTCCCTTTTCCTCCCTTGGTTGTGTCTCTAGATTCCTCTGAGCTGCATGTGTGGAAACGAGTGTTCCTCATGTGCTTTCTGCTGGGCCTGGCTCTGAGGTTATCCCACTTCCTGCTGCCTCCCCAGGGCTGCACTAACCACCCTCTCAGATGCTCCCCCACAAATAAACTGTTTTGTTCCATTTATTTCAGTGTAAACATAAATTAAGAGCTTCCCAGGAAAGAGAGCTTAAGTAGGAGCCATACTGGTTCCCTAGGGAGCCTGAGGCATTTCCAGAGCTCAGTACTTTCTGCCACCTTCCCCCACAATTAAGTGGGGGTCCTTATGCCAAGGATTTGAACTGCCCTTGTCATGTTGTATGGTTCATTCTTCATCCCTGGATCTTGTTCTGACACTGTTTTGGTTCTGCCACTTTTCACCCTATTGTAAAGGACGATTTTTCTAGCTGGAAAAGTTCAGAACGGCTGAGATCATAGCTCTTCACATGATGGAGAAAACTGGGAATGAAGATTTCAAGGCAGCATGCAGAGGCTCCCAAGAGCCTTTTTCTTCATTCTGAGCTGTGAACAATGAAACTGCGTGTGTGTCCTGAGAAAGACTAATCATTTGAGAAGTATTTCAGACTTCACAAACCTGTATCTTAGATACAAGATGGGCCTTGTTTGGAAAGCTTCTAGAAAAATGTGACTAACTTGTGTGTTCTACTCTAGTCTTTGTAATGCTGTTCTAGGGAATAGGACTCCAGCCCAATTGCCACCTTGTTGCTGAAAATTAAATTGCAAGTAGTTATTTGTTTAGATTAGGTTGCCCACTGTATTTCTCTTAACAGCTTAGCACTGTTGTGGTCCTTTATTCCCTTCCCAAGTAAATGTGGAAGTTTGTGTTGTGTTTTAGTGTTGTGTTTTTGGTTGTTTGGGTTTTTTTTAATATACTTGTTTTCTAGATTTAAGGGAAGAGACTGTTCACAGCTTCTCTGTGTTCTAAAATAAGATTATTGAAACAGTCTGTATAGTTCTAGCTGCCCGTGCTTGCCTAGAAAGTGAGAGTAGTAGGTCAGGATGATTCTTTTTCTAATGTCAAAGCAGAGTGCTGTTGACAGTTTGTGGAAAGATTGTAGCAAGTCCCCTTTTGGTCATGTCATGTGAGCTGTTTACTGCATTCTAGTAGTAGTCAGTTTTCAGAGGACTTGGGATGCTCAGTAGTTTTGTTCTTCTGAAGTGTGTCACAGAAAGTAGTCCAAGTAATACATGATTTTGTTGCAGCCTTGTTCATGTGTTGTTATTAACAATGCGATATCAAGCCTCTATTTTCTTCTTTACAGTTAGCTAACAATTCCGTATGTAAAATTAAGCTGCAAGTAAAAATTGCCTTAACCCGTAGCTCCAGAGGAGAGCATGCTGCAGAACTCGGAACCACTGCATTGTCATGAAGCTGGTCACTAGTTGAGTTGTTGGTTGCCTGTGGAGTCTTCTTTAAGAGAAACTGGATTTTTGCACTGACTTTGAGGGACATGGCACCTCAGTGTGGAAGCAGGAGGGACGATAGGATGCGTATGTCCAAGCCAATTAAAGACTGCATTGTTCTCCCTCCTGAAGTAAGCACTTCTGGGCAGGCTGGAAGAGGCAGTGAGATCTGCTTTCAGACAGTCTGAAAAATTTCTCTGCAGGATGATTTAGTAGGGGATGAAATAAAGGCAACTGAGTGCAGCACGTATTTTTGCCAGCATCCAGTGTAGGACCGTTTTCAGTACTCATTGAAACATGAGCCTGAAGCAGCAATAAGTCCTCTCTTTCATTCCCAGCTCTGTTCAACCTAACCGTGACACTGTTAAGCTCTTCTGCCATCAAGAAGGTGGGGCGGGATAGGATAGTAGCCATGCTGATCCCACCAAAAGTAAAGTTTATTTAGCTGCTCGTATGTACTAAGGTTGAATTGGTCAGTCTTATGGTTATAATCACTGCTACATTAAGATGGTATAGAACAAAGAGTAAACAATTTTTCTGCTTCAGCGGTGCTGACCTGGAGCTAAGTTTTGAACAAGTACTCATTTGTACTTAATCACCAGTTCTTGACCATCTATGTTGCTGTTCTTCATAAGCATTTAAATTTCTTAGTAGTAGCAGTTGAGCTGTGTAGGAGAATGGTAGCCATTTACAGTACTGAATAGTGCTGGCCTGCTCCGTAATGGATTTTGCAGGATACTAAAAATTTAAGATTCTTAAGGAACTTCTTTTCAGACTTGCTTGACACGAGTATAAGTGAGTCCCTGCTTAGAGACTTAGGTCAGCTATACATATACCATACTCATATCCTATATCTTTTCCTGGTTTCATCAATGACATGTCAAGGAAAAAGACACTTTTTTTTTTTTTTTTTTTTTTGCAAAGATTAATGCATTCTATTTTTATACTCTTACTGTCCATCTTTGCTTTAAAGCCAGTATGTAAAGATGCCATTTTAAATCTGAAAAAGGTTGTCCTTGGAGTCCTCTGGCTACCATCAGATTCAAGGGCCCTGCACCTTTCAGGACAGATGTTCTGGTGATCCAATGCACCGAGGTAGGTTTTGGAATTTAACAAAACTGTGAGCTGAGCCTGAAAGGTAAAATGGGTTAAAGCCATAGGTCCTCTAGTGATAGCTCCTGTAAGAGTCCGTCCTTGCACTGTTTCCTGCTTGCCACTTCATAGCTCTAAATGGCACCTAACTGATTGTTTATGATTTAGCACCCAGACCTCACCTGAAGGAATCAGGATCCCTGTTGCAGCAGAAACTTTCTGGTTTCTTTAGGAAGCTGTCCTCAGCTTGGTAGCATCTTTCTCAAGGTGCTGTGGCAGTCCTAGAAAGAATTAACTCTTCTAAAATCAGACATAAAGAAATGCAATTTATCATCTGTGGACTTGTATCACCAAAGTCTGAATCAGCCCTCACTTCTCATTGTCTTCTACTACCCTTGGTTCTTGTAGTGACATTAAGGTCTTTAGCAGATAGATGACAATGTGAAAGTGAGGAACTCCAGGTTATTATTGTCTCGTAGTTTGCCTGAGACTAAAGTTGTTGGAGTTTAGGAGCTTGAGATCAGAACAGCTTTGACTAATGAAGTCAGGAAACATGCTCCCTTTCTCCTTCACCTCATATACCCAGTGTATCTGTGGAGTCAGCGGGCTTTTATTTTGATCTACCTGCTACTACATTTTCTTAATTTGACCACCTAAGTTTGCTGAAGAACAGATGGCAGCATATCTACACTTGTGTCATTGAGGAACAGAAGGGAAGTTAAATGATATCCAAAGGTAGTTATTGGGATGTTAACCTCTTTGCTTGCTATGATCTTACACTATTTGGAAGAACTTTCTCCTTTGTGGGTGATAATTTATTTACCCTATAAGATTAGGGTTATAATGGTAGCCCAATTTACACCAAGAATCCTTTTTGCTGTTAGCCTTGAAGGTAGCGTTACTAGCTTTTCTGACTTCAGAGTAAGGGGATGATGCTGAGTCTGATTTTGGTATAGGTGATGAGCCCAACTGTAATCTTCTCTTCAAAGAAAGTAGCGGTTTATGTAGAAGGAGGACAACCAAGATGGTGAACAGTCTTGAGCGTGAGACTTATGAGCAGCAGCTGAGATTACTTGGCTTGTTCAGCTTTGAGAAGTCTGACAGTTGATCTCATTGCAGTCTACAACTTCCTCAAGGTGGGCAGTGGAGGGGGAGGTGCTGATCTTCTCTCTCTAGTTTCCAGCAATAGGACACAATGAAATGGAATGAAGCTGTGTCAGGGGAAGTTAAGACTGGACGGTAGGAAAAAGCTCTTCACTGAGAGGGTGATCAGTCACTGGAACAGGCTTCTCAAGAAAGTGGTTCTGGCACCAGCACTGTGGTGCCAGAGGTCAAGGAGTGTCTAGATGATGCTCTTAGTCATATGATTTAGTTTTAGGTATTCCTGCAAGGAGCAGGGAGGTGGACCTGATCCTTATGGGTCCCTTCCCATTTCAGGTACCCTGAAATTAGTTCACTTCTGAATATTTTTGTTGGGAATGTGACTAAGTGTCCTTCAGACTTCAGTAGAAGAAGAAAAGGTTGAGATGTCGTAAGTGCTGGACTTTCTATTGTTGCCTGTTGTGCATAAAGTGCCTGTAAGTGAAGTGATTAGACCTTTGGCTAGGCTAGTGTGACAAATTGGCAGATGCATGCTGTATATTTTGAAGTAGACAAGAACACCAACATGTGGAATGATTCTGTTCCCTTGTGTTGGGTCATTTCCTGTAACAACACTGAGAGATAAAACCTTTTGCTGTTAAAGAACTTTTAAAAAAAGGAATCAAGCTGTATTACTTGGTATGTAAAGCAAATTCCCACACAAGGCTATGGTACCAGTACTTTACCTAAAGCCTTTGGTGTTCAGAGTAGAGGCTTCTATTCTTTTAATTGGTGTGATACAGTGAAGGATTTTGCTTATCAAAGCCTAAACTGTTGTGCTGGCCTCTTGTAGAGTAATAGGAATGATTTGGGGCTTGAATGTGATAGGCTGCAAGATGTAGAGTTGTTCATGTCCCCATAGCTGTTAAGATGTGCCCTACTGGAGTTGAAGCAGGTACTGTACCACCACTAGAAAAAGCGATGGAGTTAATTGATGGATAAAGCGATGGAGTTTGTTTACAAAATACTGCATAGTCTGTTAAGTCTCAAGTTTGACAGTATGTTTGATAAAACAGTATGTCCATCACTATCCTCTTAGGAGTTTTTCTCCCTTGTACTGACTGGTTACTGCTTTGGATGAAATTGTAGCACAAATAACTTCCCAAACTGAAGCTCCTTGATACGTTGTCTATAAATATGGTCTGCAGGATACCTTGAAGTAGGAAGGAAAAAGGGAAGACTTTGCTTTCAGTGGCACAGGTGTAGTTCCTTGCATTAGGAATGTCTGTAGGCATGCTCCTGCTTAAAATGAGACAATAGGGTTGTTTTTATAGCAAAAGCTGAGGAGCTGCATAACGTGTAGCTTTTTTTCAGTGTATATGTGTCCCTCCATAACCTCACATTGCCTCCATTCAATTGCAGAATACATACTTTGCAGTAAAGCTGTTTCTTTTTCCCCAGTGAACAAGCTGAAAACAAAGACCAGAATTACAGCAGCCCTCTAGGAATTGAGCTTATTTTATGCAAAATCATGAAAACATTGTTTGTGCTACCAGGCTATCACTTGTGACTTAGTTTGTAGACTTACAGAGAATAGCAAATTCTTTGGGGATATTATATGAAAGGGAGTGCCAGTGCAGTCTTTAACAGGATTTTGAGTCAAATTTGGAATACATGATAATTTACTGGAACCAAAAAGCTTGAGACCATTTCTCTAGCCTTCCTCTTAGTCTTAAGTAATGACATTGGCAAAAAAATCTCTGGCTGAGCTGTTGCTGTTAGACTTTGGTCTGAAGCTAGCCCTTTCTCTTCAGAGGATGAGAAGCTCCATCAGCAGTGATTTCTCCATGGGGATCAGACGGGAGGGGCAGGCTGTTCCTGCCGAGATTTGGCACCATCTGGTACCTCCTGATATAATTCCAATCTCTTCAGCGAACTGCAAGGGCGAAACATTTTTGTGGATTGTGGTAGCAAGAGGAGGGGAACAAGGAAAGACAGTTTGGGAGCTTGATATCTTAGGTTTTTCTATTCTTAGTAAAAATAGTGGTGCAAGGTGGGTTATCGTAAACCTACTATTGCCACTGCTTGAGGCACGTGGGTGTTGGTTTTTTCTTTTTTTAGTCATTCTGTATTCTTTAGTCTTTCTAGAGAGGGAAATGAAAGTCTTGCTTAAGTTAGTAATTGCAGAGGATACACTTTTGAACTTATTATGCTCATGTGATTCTACATCTTTGTGCTGCCTATGTATTTATTGTTGAGTTTCACAGTAGAAAGAATACTTCTGTGTTTAATCTAGGTAGTGCATCTTCCAAATGTGGAAGAGTGCCAAGGAGATATTTCTAGGATAGTTGAAACTACAGGTAGGTTATCTTCTTTTTGTGCTCTGGTATCCCAGGCAGACTTTGGGCTCAGTGCAAAGCGAGTCTCATGTGGGAATGTGCGAGGCTTGATTCTGTTGCCAGAACGTGGATTTGTGTACCTGAGGTTGTGGAGACATTGTTCTAGGGGCCATAGATACAACCTAGAAGACATGAGAATGGGGGCATTATGGAGCAGCAGTGGAGTCTTCGTAGGAGAGCCTAAGGCATTGCAGGTGGCATTAGATGTCAGCACTGTAGTCAGGGCTAGCTGAGGTCAAGAGGTTTCCCATATCAATTTGTAAAAGTGGAAGGAGTAAGTGAGTAACTGGCTGGGAAAGAGGGAGGTTTAAAGAGCAGGTGGTTTGGAAGGGAGAAGAGTGTGGGAGAGGACAAAGTCAGAGGAGCAAAATACTGGCAAAGGTCCTTTGAGGGGTGGAGGGAGGGAGTGGCCAGTGGCAAAAGAAGCAGCAGCTGGTCAAAACAAAATGCTTTGCTTCCTGGCTGGGATTAGGAGGTCACAGACCAGCAGTTGCCATAGGCCCACTCAGCACTTCTCTGCCTCGGGCGTGAGCTGCCTGCCCACTGGAGTTTGCTCTGCCATTAAGAGTCACAGGTCTTCACCAAACCTGAGACTGTGTTTTGAAATAATGTATTAAAATCATCAGAAGTTTCTCCTGGTTGAAATGCTTTGACAATGTTTACACTCATAATCCCCACCTCCTTTTCCCCCTACTGCAGCTTTTCCTGTCTGGGGAGCAAGAGAGCCAAATGTAGATTCAGCCTCATTTCACTGGAGTGAACCAACTCCTTAACTCAGCTGCTTTGCTTCCCACTCAGTGTTTGGCTAAACAATCTTAGAAAAGTGAACAAGCAATACTCCCCCTCCTGCCATGTTCTCCTCTTCCAAGCCCCTCCCCACCAGCTCATTAATGTCCCATTATAAGCTACATGAGCTTTTGTGCTGCTGTCTGCAAGGAAGATCTGGTGAAGCAGTCTAGCTCCCCAGAGCCAGCATCAGTGTGAGGCAGGTGACAAAAGGCCGAGGCCAGAATTCAAGGAAAGCAACATGACAAAGAAATTCTCCTGTTTTCACTCCAGGCACCAGGGAACTGGTTAACTCCATGGAAATCCTTCTCTGCCACTAACCTGTTCTGTGGTGTTTTGAAAAAAAGTGCATAAGTTGCCCTGATGATCATTAACTGTATTTCTTAATTCTGAAAGAGGGAATTACATTAACGCCAACTTCTGCTTTACAATTATCTTTATGTAGCATCCTTCTTGCAACTCTTTCCAAACTAGAGAGAACGTGTCTATATCCAGTGAAGTAGTAAAATCAGTTGTGGAATGGGATGCTTCAATTTGACCTGTGTCGAGCAGAACACATCTAGCAGATGTAATATGTTATGACTGTTTTAGGAACTAAAGAAAAAAGAACGAAAGAAAATTCTGTAGTGATTTACTGCAAAGTGGCAAGCTGTCAGTAAAAGAATTATGGGAGGTTGTCCACAGAGATGGAGCTGCCGAGGAGAAGACTCTTGTGCTCCTGTGGGGATACTGCAGAAAGGCATACAGAAATAATTGAAAAGCTGCTGATGCTTGAAAGAAGCAAGATTTTCTATAGCTGACTGGAACAGTGTATATAGGAATTAAAAAGTGAAAAGGAGAATGAAGTTCTGTTGTTCCAGGATCCAGTGAAGAAGTATATTTGACCTGCTGTGATTCTGACAATTCTTTGTGAAAACAAGTGGTAGAGGTCTGCATGAACTGCAGTTTGTGGACAGCAGAGTTTATTTTTCTATATAGTACTTTTCTAAGACTCATTTTCTACTTCCCTCTTTCCCCCACAAACAGAACGTATTTAATTTTGATTCTAAGGACGTGAAGTTTCCCACTTGTGGAATGCTATTATTTGTTCAGTCCTAAAGAGTTCATAAATTATATAGATAGAAGTTACCTGATAGATAATAATGTTGAACCTTACCTGAATGTTTAAAGGTGCAGTAAGGTAAACTTAGTGTCCACTGTGTTTCTAGAGCTGTATGGTTTTGATGTCCTTATTGATGACACTCTCAAGCCTTGGCTGTTGGAAGTGAACCTATCCCCATCACTGGCCTGGTAAGTGATTCTCAGTTTAATATGAGACTGGAGATGGTTATCCTTGAAACTTCTGGTCCTAGGCTTCCCAATTTCATGACGCCTGCAGAGTATTTGTTCCTGCTAATTGACAGAGAGGATAGTCCTTTGCGTTTTCCTTTGCATAAACAAACTTATTGCAGCAATAGGTTTTGAAAGAACCCGGCTGGGATTCCATTTTCTTCTTAATTATTTCTCTTCCACAGTCCATCGTCATTGTTAACACTTCATAATCTCCCATCACAGATGAATTTTGAAACTCTCCAGGCTATTGTGTGGGGTTTCAATCTGCTTGGCTGAGTAGAAGCTTTAAGATTTTGGAGTCCAAGCAGAGTTCAGGCATTGTGCCTCACTTGAGTGTGCAGATGTAGGCTTGGGCTCAGATTTTTGATCTAGTACTCTCTTTAGCTAAAGTTTACAGAGAGAGTGTTTTCTTGGCCCTCATAGTCTAATGAAGGATCACCTAGTCCAACCCCCTGCCAGAGCAGGATCACCTAGAGTAGGTCACACAGGAACGTGTCCAGGTGGGTTTTGAATGTCTCCAGAGAAAGAGACTCCACAACCTCTCTGGGCAGCCTGTTCCAGTGCTCTGTCACCCTCACAGTGAAAAACTTTTTTCCTAATGTTTTTGTGCAACCTCCTATGCTCTAGCTTCCAAGGAATCAAACTGTGCCTGTCCATTCTGAGCTGTATTCATTGATTTTTTCCACTGGATAATATTATGGGTGCTTCCCATCTTCTAATCTCTTTGTATCTGTCACCTTCCCTAACAGTTTGTTCCCAGCCATTGGAACTAACCCATCTGATTTTATGATTATATGTGGAAGACACATAGGTAAATGAGGTTTTTTAGAATGCTGTGACAGCAACCTTCATCTACTCCATGAAATGTAGTGTAGGTGCATTCAAAGAAAATGTTTCTAGTCAAGCAGAGCTAAACCAAGGCAGTATATTGCTGCTTTTGAAGACTAGAGTTGTGAAGAAGGATAAACAGAAATAGATTAATCTGTTGTTGTTTAGTTTTTACCTATGCATGTGACAATCACCTAGTTTTCCTCCCATGTTGATTATGCCTGTGTTAAAAACCAATGAAATGAAACTGTATTGGAAAATAACTTAGATATTGATGCATTCCTCTCATTCAATGTCAGACAAATAATTATTCTTGTCCTCTGTTGCATATGGGTATAGTGATGCTCCTTTGGACCTGAAGATCAAAGCTAGCATGCTCTCAGACATGTTCACTCTTGTAGGTGAGTGTAACCAAAAAGCTCTTTCAATCTTTCCCTCATTTAAACCAATAAAAGGTAGATTTATGAGCTGCATGTTATTAGATGAGTGCGACAGAGGACAACTCTATTAAGTTAAGGAAAGCAGCTGTATTTAGCACTGGGAAGTGATCTGTGGACATCTCAGCTTCAGAATAATCTGTTTGTGATTCTTACGTGGTATTAAGAGTCCTTAGTTTGGTACTTGAAGACACTGATCTTTCTCTTTAGCAGGTGACTTCTCTTTATTCCTTAGAATCAGTATTTGTGCATTTTTGGGTTGAATGTGGGGTTTCTGGTTAGGCTGTATTAGAAGTGAGGTCGTTATTGTGAAAGCTGCACATCACCTTTTAGGCCCCCCTAGTATGTCTTGGTTCAGTTACTTGATGCCACTTATCTTTAATACTAAAAGAGGCAAAATGGTCATCAGGTGACCTGCTCAGCTATTTGTGAAACAGAGCCTTTCTCTATGATGCTCTTCAGTAACCCATCTGGTTTAAGTACTTGGTTTTGAAGCAAGTTCCAGTTGTGTGCAGAAAATGTAATGTAGTGTACAGTTTGGGATTAAACAAACAAAAAAAAGCTGCATAATTTTGGGTCTTTGGGTGGGGACAGGAAGGTCATGTATAGACTGAGGAATGCTAGGTTTATATTTTAGAATTTGCCTAAAGTTCTGCTGTGGCTCCTGATGCCCATAGGCTTTGTGTGCCAGGATCCAGGCCAGCGGTCAAGTCGAGCCATTTGTCATTCATCTGAATCTGTCAGGAGAAATCCGTACCAGAAGCTACAGGTAAGTGACTTCAACGTGCCGGAGCTGAGGAGGGTGCAGGAAAGTTATTCTTGTTGATTTTGGCTCACAAATGAGAGTAGCAGTGAGTGAGGTTGTCTGAATTTGTTGCATAACTACAGAAGAGTCTCAGGGGAGGTACCTGAGCTGTTCAGCCACTTTTGTTTTGTTGTCGGCAACGACCTTCCAGAACCCTTGAGCTTTATGAATGTGTCCCAAGACTTCCTCCTCAGCAGAAAGAGCTTTTTGCGTTTGAAATTTAAGGCTTTTTTCCCATTCACTCCTGGAATCTCTCACTTCCTTTCCTGTGGATCCTTGGACTGAGGCCTCAAGTGGCTTGTTGTGACTGTCCATTAACTTCTCTGCTGAGGCAGTGCTTTCTTAGCACTGTGATATTGAAGGGCAATTGTTCTCTGTCTCTTTTTGGCTATGAGATGGATTCCATAAATATCTGTGGAAGAGGAACACTCACAAAAGGCAGGGAGATCCCCTGTGTCATTTGGACTTTCAGATTCATTTCTTCTCAGGCAAACAGTGTATCCTGACACTCGGCAGCTGATGCTTATGCTCCTGTAAGGGACATGCAACATGTCTGTGTAGCTCAAGTTCAATTAGGAAATGAAAAGTGATTTTTTTGATCAGTGACAGAGAACTAATAACACTGTTCATTTTGATATTAGGAAGAACTGGCAACAATTTACTTCTTGTAAAACTTGGAGTCTTGAGTCACCAGGAGAGAGGTGGATGGCTGTTAGATGAGATTTGAGTATCTGTAGGGTGCATGAGTCCAAAGCTTCTAATGCCAATTCAGTAGATAGGGTTTCATATAAATCCCTCTGACTGTAAGGGTGCTGTTTGTGGCAGACAAAAGATATGTCGGATTAGGAAACGTTGCAGAAAAATAACCTTCTCTCTTAGAGTAATGAAGTCCAATTCTGATAATTTGACATTTTTTACCTGAAAAAATTTATACAGGACAGTCTGAGAAAATTGATCTGTTGGGAAACACTGAATTTTAAGGAGATTTTAAACCTAGAGCTTTATTTTGCTTAAGAAAACAGGAATAGATGTAAGGCCTGGCCAGTTGAAATGTGCAAAGATTCATGTGATGGAGCAGTGATTATAAGATGGGATTTATTTACTTATCTTTTTGGGACAGGTGCCCTCTCCCCCTCCCATTACTTATGTTTACTGGGAACAGCCTTCTAATGCAGTGATAATGCTTTATAGCATAGTTTGTGGGGTTTTTTTAGTATCTAAATGGAAATCTCATGGTTAAATAGGCATATAGAATTTTTTTTTTTTTCATGGTTCAGGAATGCTTTGGCCTGCTCTGTGCCAAATGCGTTTTATCTCAGATTTATTTTTTTTTTTCATGGTTCAGGAATGCTTTGTCCTGCTCTGTGCCAAATGCGTTTTATCTCAGATTGCTGGATCTTTCATACTTCTGTTCCCATTCTCAGTTGCAACCTCTTTTTCTTTTCTTAACTCCTTCATGATGTCTTAAGTTGTTCTCAGTTGCAACCTCTTTTTCTTTTCCTTTTCTTAACTCCTTCATGATGTCTTAAGTTTTGATTGGTCACAAAGGCTATATTTAATCATCGTGAAAGTTGCTTCTTGGGGAAGAAACTGCTAATACCAGTGTTCTTGGTCATGAGATAGTTATTCTGCTTTCTGATTTTCACCAGACTGGACTGCAAGTTCCGTGTGTCATTTCTTTGCTTTGACTCTCTGAGCATTTCTCCCTCTAGGGAAATGAGCAATTTAGCTGCTTCCTTTGTAGCTTGTTGTTGATTTGGGTTGGAACTCTGTCAATTAGTCGTAAGCAATAAAGGGACCTGACCTGCTTTTGTATAGACCGACTGTAGAGAAGAACTTGGCAGCAGTACAGCTGGAAATGATAGATAGGTCTCCAGAGAATACTTCCTTACATCCTTGGCTCCTCTTAGGCACTGGAGAGGAGGAAGGCAGCCTGAATACCACTGAAGGCAAGAAAAATCTAAGCTCCTGTGATAATAGTTTTCTTTCAAACATAATCCTGTCATTAGACTGGTCTTGCTTGTAGGCCTGGTGCTATATGCAGGGTATATAATACAGGGTACTTTTTGACATTCTGATGTTTCTACATCTGTTTCGGAGTGTTATACAGCATCTTGTCTCTCCACAAGAACTGAATACTGTTGAGATGTTTAAATGAAATGACTTTGGAAGTTTCAGGGTTTTTACTATTTTGTTATCCTCTCTTCTATGAATAATTCTACTTAACAGCATGTGTTTCTCCTTAATATATAGCTATTAAATATTTTCCTCAGGGTAACTCTTATCTTACAAAAATATGAATTTTGGTTGTGAGAATTGAGTTCATTCATCCATTCTGCAGAGTTCTTCTCTGTGTGCTTCGGAAAATTATGTCTGTGTCCAGATGGGTTCTGCACAGTTGAGCACATGTGAGGTTGTGATCAGTGCTGCATTTGGAATGGGGGCGGGATGCGTTTGTGGGCATTATGAGGAAGATCTGAGGTGAGATGACAGAAGTTAGCAATATCTCTCGACTTCAGTTACGTGCTTTTGCTCTAGGGTACTTGGGATTCCTCTGCAACTCGGGCAGGCCTGGTAGTGTCTTGGAAAACACAAGGTTTTTATTCTCTTTGTGTGTCTCTTGCAGCGTCCTGTGTCTGCGCAGTCGCAAACAGCAAACAGCAGATTTGTAAGTACCCTTCAGCTCCCTTCACCAATATAAGGGACACAATTTCAGATGTTACCTTGTACAGTACTTTTGGCGCAGTTGGTCCCAAGATATGACTTGCAGTTAAGTAGCCTGATGGTGAGGAAGGATTGGTACTGGCATATGTGTCCGTGTGGCAAGAGAAAGGTTGGAAAAACATTTACATCAGTTTTAGCAGCTTAAAAAAAAAAAGAGTGAGTGAGGTGTGCTGAGAGTCAAGGTCAGCTGGGTCAAATCGCTCAAGCATTTTAAAGAAATGGAATATAGGTGTTTCAAGATAAAG